GATTTATAGCTTGAGCGGTTTGGTGAAGAATGAGGCTTGGAAAGTGCTGTTGGATCATTAGACCTTAAGCTACCTGCTGCGGAGACTCACAAAAAGCACTGTTAGCATCCTAGCTGAATGGTCTGAACTATGCTTCCACACTACAGGACTAACTCACTACATGGCCCAGTCGCAACGCTACTGCAATAGACAGGACATCATAAACTACTACTGGAGGAAGACCATACTTTTCTCTAACGATATGATGCATACAAGTCTGAAAATAAACACTTGGTTCCTGTTACAAACACTAAGAAAAGGTCAACACTGGAGTTGTGTGGTTTTTAGATTATTTTCTTTATGTATGATGAACATAGATATATCTGCTTTGTTTTCTCTATTTTGTTTTTTTGGTTACAGTGAGATGATTTGAAGCACTGTTCTCAGATAGAAACTGCACACCTGGTTGATTCCAATATATCGTATAGTTGTTTAATTATTTTTTATTACAAGATGAATCATTTTGTTTATTTTTAATTTACCTGTGTTTAATAGAATATCATGGTGAAGTGAACATCAAGGTAGTTTTAGCAGTTTTTTTTCTAAAGGCTTATTTTTACTTGAGGGATTTAGCCATGTAGATTGTGCTCCCTGTAACCCCTCGATCCGCTACTGTAGACCTCAACTGTTAGTCTATTGTAGTGACCACTAGGTCAATGTAAGGACAACCCTTATGAAAGCACCCCCCCCCACCACCACTATACACACGTGTATATACAGGAATTCTCCAGATTGGCTAAATAAGTAGCTTTCTCCTTCTGTTTTTTTTCTTTCATTTTCCCTAATAATGCATTTCTTTATCGCCTGACCTGGCTGGTCTGGACAATGGGTCTGGACTATGTGAATGTAGTGCTGAGCCACAACCAGGCATTTAAAGATGGAATCTGCAGCAGGGGGAAACGGCCCCACTGACCACCCCACCACCGTTGTTTTTGTTGCAGAGCTGAGGAGCGTCACGCAGCATGGTAAAAACAAATGCAGTACATATTGTGCTCTTCTATCGCGCATGCAAAGATGTCCGAGGGGGAAAAAACTGTTCGTTGTTTGCAGTTACTTTGTTGATGGTAATATTGAAGGTATAATCGCAAATGGATTTGGCTGTTTCACCATTAAGGGTTCCAGCTTTAAGGGGTTATTAGAACAGGAAACACACAAGGTGAAAATCCCTGCTTCGCTAAGTTAAATGTGCAACAGCTGCTAGAACTAAACTCTTGTGTCCACAATGTAGCAATGACAGGAACTGTATGGCAGAAAACACAGACACACAGATGCGAACACAAGTCCCCTGTAGCTCAGTTGGTAGAGCATGGTGCTTGCAACGCCAGGGTTGTGGGTTCGTTTTCCCACGGGGGGCCAGTATGAAAATGTATGCACTCACTAACTGTAAGTCCCTCTGGATAAGAGCTTCTGCTAAATGACTAAAATGTAAGTAGTAAACACTCACCACAATTACCCACACACACTTCATGCAGGGTCCTACAAAAGTCTGCGATGCGGAGAACGCGGGTGGAATCACGAATCCAGACATTAAAACAAAATTCAACAATATTCAAAAATGTATTGAACTTTACTAGGAAATCAACTAAATGTATTATTTTGCCAAGATTATCATAAGACATGAACAAATTGCATCAATGATTCATATTTTCCTTCAACTTTCAGAAGCAAAGGCATGGAAATGTCCCTTTCTGTGTGCACTTTTGTCTACCATTTTGTGTAGCTGTTAGCAATGATGCTAATGAAAACTGTCATCTGGTAGATGGAAAGGCTTTCTAAAAAAATAATTGTTTAGCAGACTCTGCAATCAAGTGCACCACAGAAACACATATAACCAAACAAGTCTCTTGGCTAGTGCACACTTGAATTAAAGGGTATCTATACCCAAAAATAGAAATGTCTTAGATTTTTCCCAGACCTCAAAAGTGGTCTCCTGAAGTGGTTTAAGCATTTTGTTGTTTTTCTATTTTAAAAGTGTGATCCTTTGGGAAAAACAATCTTAACAGATATTATAGGGCCCTATTCATATTTTCTTCCCATTTTACTCTGAGCTTCCCCCTCCAATTCTAGAGTAGCAAGATGAAGTCGCACATGTCCATGCACCATAGAGAGCATCCAAAGACCATGAGGCCTTAGTGCACAGCAAAGAGTAGCCAATGTGTCTGTTCGGATTTTCAGTTGGGAAATCAGAATAGACTTCTCCATAAGTAGACACTAACACTGCATTGTGAAGTATTGTATTTAGATGCAGAGTTGAAGTGTCAGCGCAGAGGCTAGTGTACTGTTTTAACATTGTCTCAAATGTACTTGCTTGGAGTAAATTTGAGTATTTTAAATATAGATTTAACTAATTGTTTTACAATCATATTTTATTAATCACTCACTTAAACCATTTCAATTATTTTTACTGATGCTCAAAGGGTAGTCTGGTTGAATTTAAATGTGAGACAATACTCCATATTTCCAAAAGACTAGTGGAAGTCTGTTAAAAGTGACATGATGGTTGGCAAGCCTGAATAAGTTGTGATCCATCTTTGTTTCCTGTGTAAAACATTTTTTTTCTTCCAGTTTAGTTTTGCAAAACTGAGTGAAAAGATGGGCTGAAAGAATGACAATCAAAGTTAGTAGGAGTAATGCTTTTGCAACAATATTCTAAACTGATCACTTTTCATTGCTCACAAAGTTTTGTAACTATAATTGTGTAGCATTTTGACGACAACAAACTAATTTTCTAAACAAATCCTATTTTGATACTCATTAAATCCATCTTTGCATATGTATATTTCTAAATCACTTAACTAATAAGTACCATGAAGTGATGGCACACACTTGGTATTTTGTGTTTTTTATCAAATACTGTATAACGATGAATGCAAAAGAAATCTATAGACTTCTCATTCCTCAAACTACAGAATTGAAGCATCTCATTAACCCCCACATGTTAGATAAGATTTCAATCGCCATTGGTTTCACTCATGTCTACTACAGTTTGCAGTGGCTTGTATGAAACCAATCACATACATTTCTCAGTTGGTATTTGACATTCCTGTAGCTTCTACTTAAATGAATGGCTGTCAAGGTTAGAACGGCTTAACATAGTTTTATCGTTTTTTGTGTGTTAATGCCTTAACGTTCAGAAAAATTACATTATTAATATGATTCCCTTTCTTTACAATTACGGTTATTTGCAAATGTATATAATGATTTTACTCATCTCCAGGAGTCTAGTGCCTCAGCGTAAACACATCATTGTTCTCGCTGGTTTGTGTTTGTTGAGAGAATGCTCAAATTCCAATTAGGAGCTGTGATGACTACTGACTGGCCTACTTGGAAATATGTTTGTGTGAATTTCTCCAACTTGTCTGTATGATAATGTTTCACACTTTCTTGTACGCTAAATCATTTATGCATCAGTATTGTTGAGTTTGTGATAGTTTACAGTTTTTCTGGAGTTCCAACCCCCCTGGATTTTTGAATTTCCACTGGTTATTGTAAAAAAAAACAAAAAAAAAAACGATTATTTGCAGATTTTCAATATCTTTTGCAAATACAGTTTTTCTAAAATGTAACTTTTGTCATGCCTTATCATTTGTGTATTGTGTGACGATTGATGATGTCAACCATTTCAACAGTTGTTACAGCAATAGCCTTTGTCTCCTCAGATGGTACTCATTTGCTCATTGCTAAAAAAAAAAAGAATGCTGTAATAGTAAATAGAGTGGTGTGGCTTTATCAGTGACTGCAAAAAGGAACATAAGGAAGGGAAAGGGGATACCTAGTCAGTTGCACAACTGAATGCATTCAACCGAAATGTGTCTTCTGCGTTTAACCCAACCCCTTATGAGGTCCGCACACAGTATTCGCAGTGAAAAAATGAGAACATATTCCATCTTTAATGAGGATAGTTTTGCCCGACATGGCTTCATCAGTGTGGTGACAACAAGGAATACATCCTACAGATAGGGTTACAACAATACAGGCATAGCCCTAACAGGTGGTGAGGAAGGATATAATGAGGGATATATCAATGACTATCATCAGATACTGTGTAGAGTTTGGACTATGGCTTGTACATGCCACTGCCAGAGAGGTACCAGAAATTAACTTGTTTTGAAGTTGTGCTGCCTTACAAGAAATGAAAGACAGGGTAACTTCATGACATTACAGTTGGTTATTAATGGTCTTGGTGACACATTAATAGTTGCATCCCAGTTATTTTCAGTGTAGCACATATCATGATGAATGATGTTAGACTTGGCCTTTGGCTGTGTGAGAATCATTATGATGATGTTGATGAATGATATCATTTGGCTATGAATGTGGTTTTAAATCGTCATCTACTTGAAGGTATGGGCTGGGACTATAGGTGGTTGACTGCTAATAAGTAAGTTATATTGTGTCTTAGGTACGGCCAGACGTTTATAGTTTATCAACCTGATACATTTAAGAAATATGATAAGGTCAAATATTGCATAATACAATATTAATGTATCTCCGGAAGGAACTAAATGATGTTGCGTTGGCACACTCGGCACTATATCTTTAGCACTTCCGTCAAGTCATTCTATCTGATGTGATTCTGTATCATCTGGCCTTGCACTATATACTTTTTTTGTTTGTTCACTTCACTCATCTTAGCAGGCGACCATTGTGGGGACAGTCTTGTTGTAAACAGGGATTTTTGAAAAGCGTGGTCCAAAATAATGACCGCTCATTATACTGCGGTGAACTGAAAGTTCAATATTCACAGCTTTGCGAAAAGGAGCTTGAATTTCCAGAATATGAAGGTCCAGCGGACGCGTGCTCCAGGGCGGGGATTTTGTGTGAAGACGCAGTGGTGGTGTCCGTTTTGCATGGCCCGGTGCCCCGGGGGGCTGGAGATTTCGTTTAAGGACCAATGGAATGGTCTAAAATGAGCAACTCCGCCTACCCCGGGCACCAGGCCATGCAAAACTAACTCGACCAATGTCACCAGCGCGCGTAGTCTGGGACGCAGCCTATGATAAGTCTCTCAGTTCCTGTCAAAAACACAGCTGAGAGATGATTCAATTGTCAGCGGCTGTGAAATAGATCCACTTGTTGCTATATGCCCCATTCATCTAGAGGACATTTGCCGAATAAAAAAAAAGTAGGTATTAATCTCGAGCGGATCGTACATCAAACAGACGGGGAAGTATTTCTTTATTCCATCTTGGACTAATCCTTGGACGGAATATTCCTATATCTAGATTATACAGGTGAGTAGCTTTATTGGTGAGATGTTATCTTTAGGCAAGTCTTTTTTCCCCAACATGATTTAAACAGTTTAACCCCAATAATAGTACATGTGAGATGTAGGATATGGCTAGCCTGTAGGACAGAGTGTTGATGTAGGCTATAAGAATATTTTTTGAATTATTGGGATTTGAGTTTAGTTGGCTAGAGAAAATTGTGATTTTCAATTAGACTGGTTTGATATAGCATTCAGGATATGTTATACATGCGTCAGTTTTGGCATTTCTATTTATTTGGGGGGATCTGGTGATTTCTGGGTATGCACCTGTGCATTCAGCTCCGTTGCGCATTTATGTTCAGCGAGTGCTAGTAGGCTATTTAGTTGGTTTCTCATGAACGTTCCACAAACACTAGCCTCATTTCTATGAACCTACCTGGTTTTGATGAACACAATAGCTTTTGCTTACTATATTCTGCCGTAGGCTACAAGGTCCTTCCTTATAATTTGTGATTGGATGTGTTTTGATAGGACGCATAACATCCCCATTGATTATATGTCATAATTTCCATGACAACACAAAGACATAAGTAGTGTGAGTCATATCATATATCAGTTCTGGGATGTGATGTGGGTATAGCCACAGAAGGCATGCCTATTCCTCTTGGATCAGTGGGATGGCATGAAAAGTGTCACTGTGTGTCACAGTCCTCCACCATGAATGACACTTACAGTAACATCTCAAAGGGATGCAGCTGAGTAGTTTGACAATCAGAGCAGAAAGTGCAAAGTACCACATAGCAGAAGTCATTTAACCCACGGGTTATTACTGACTGACTAACTAACATATCAAACATGGGAATCATTACAGGCACACAGAAGATAAAACTGTTACCAAATCCATACAGTGGAAAAATACGATTATTTTTTACTAGATTTGTTGACAATTTATTGTGTCCAAATTAGTGAATTTATTGATACATACTTATTACATTTCATTTTATAGTGTTGCATTTTAAGGTAATGCTTTATAATGGAGCTGGAGAAATGTATAATGGCATACTTCACAGCTTGTGCAAAACAGAAGTTATCTTTTAATATGATGGTGAGTAAGATGCCACCATTGTCTACTGCTGATCATTTACACATTACTCATGCAGCGCCTGATCCGAGCGATTACAAATGGTGTCACACTTAGCTGGGAAACACTTTACAATATATATATATTTTTTTTTTTTTGGGGGGGGGGGCGGGGGGGGGTAGCAGGAGACTTACCTATCCAGGATTCCTAAAGAGGTGGGGCAATTCTCCGGAAGTGGGAACTCGTGTCCTGGAACGGAGGGACTTCATGGGTGCCAGAGCACGAACAGTTGTATGGTCTGAGCGGGAACTATCTTCGAAGGAAGGGGAGCAGCAATAAGGTGTAGGATTTAATTTGATACCTGTAAGGAAACTCAGCAACAAAATGTAAACATTCTGTATTGAGTTTAAAAGGCTGACGTTGGTATCATGAAAAAACAAGGACTGTTTTCCCTTCGAAATTTCACCCCTACAAAAATGTCCATAAATTATAATACACATAATAATTTACATTCCATGTTGCTGCAGGATTATCTTCCTGCTGTAGCAAACTGCCTCAAATTAAGATCCTACACATGTAGGCTATGTGAGAAAGGCACACATGGTGTTGGCAGGGACCTCCCCTGCTGCAGAGATGACTGGCACTACCCCCAATATGAAAGCACTCTGAAACTCACCACACCATGGCATTTGTGTTCGTACCACTACCAGTCATTTAAGTAATGTTGGTAAATGTCAGGTGTTAAACAATAACCCAAGTTTAGTTTCAGTTTTGGGAAATGAAAGGTTACAGGGTTAGGCATTGATTCACTCATTCAGGGTCAGGCTGTGGGTGTTTATGGTAGCTGCAGTTGTGAACTGCTGTCCCCTGCCTTTGTTACGGCAAAAGGGGATGCTTTCCATGTGCATGATTAGATATTTGTGTGTGCATATATGTGTGCATGACTATCTGCAGGGCACTGAGTCCTCTGTTTATTTGCGCCTGCAGGAAGACTGTTTTGATGTCTGTGCGGCGGGTGTCTCCATGGCTGTGTGGACACATCACTCTGGGCTACGGCCTCTTTCTCCTGGTCACCCTTCCAGACCTCACCACAGGTACCCATCTCCCTCCCCAACCACCCACCCCAACCACCCACAACTGCCCACCCATGGTCATCACCTCTGCTAGGCATCCAAGTTGCACCACCATGCACTTGTTGAAACAGTCACAACTGCACCCAAAGCTGTAATATATCTGTAAGAGCTAATTAGTTAACTATCTGGACATACAACCTGCATCATGCTGCATTGACACTGAGCCCTCTCCCCTGACCTGTAAGACTCCTCCTTCCAGACTCCACCTGCCATACTCCATCCAAACTACTGTATCTATTAATAAAGTCTCTAACAAAAGCTTTTTCCCTCTTCAAAGCAACACCTCACGGCACAACGTCTCTCCCCTATTTGACCTAGATAGTTTGTATGTATTGCTATGTAGGCTACGTGTGCCATTTTTAAATTGATGTAGTTCTGTCCTTGAGCTGTTCTTGTCTATTAATGTTCATGTTTCATGTTTTGTGTGGACCCCAGGAAGTGTAGCTGCTGCTTTTTCAACAACTAATGGGGATCCTAATAAAATAGCAAATACCAAACCTGAATCACAGAGCATTGAGATGCATTAACTGCAGGTTAGATTCAACAATAAAGTCTAACAACTGAACTGTATGCCTCATCCGCAGGCAGGCAAGGGAACTGCACCCACCCTCTGGTGCCAGAACATGGGGGCTTCCGCTGCAACCCCTCCCCCTGCCGAGGCTTCCCCCAGAAGAGCTTGATCTACTACTTCTGTGAGCCCGGCTATGCCATCCCAAAAGAGACGGTGCGCAGCTTACACTGCCACCACGGCAAATGGATCCCCAGCATGCCCACCTGTCTCTCCACGCGAGGTGAGTGTAGTGGACTGTACTGAGTCACCACGGCCAAGGGGGAGGAGGGGGAAACCTTTGCCCCTAGTGTAATGGACTAGAGCAGAGATGGGCAACTTTGATGGGGGTGGGGGCCACAATAACATCTGAACTCATCATGAGAGCTGCAGTGGCTCGCGGGTCTGCATACCAAATCAAATCAAATCAAATTTAATTAGTCACATGCGCGGAATACAACAGGTGTAGACCTTACCGTGAAATGCTTACTGACGAGCCCTTAACCAACAATGCAGTTCAAGAAATAGAGTTAAGAAAATATTTACTAAATAAACTAAAGTAAAAAACTAAATAAAAAGTAACACAATAAAATAACAATAACGAAGCTATATACAGGGGGTACCGGTACCGAGTCATCCTGTATCTATTATCTATGGGGTACCGATACAGAGTCATCCTGTATCTATTATCTATGGGGTACCGATACAGAGTCATCCTGTATCTATTATCTTGGGGGTACAGGTACAGAGTCATCCTGTATCTATTATTTAGGGGGTAGCAGTACAGAGTCATCCTGTATCTATTATCTAGGGGGTACCGGTACCCACAAATGCAGTCAGAGCCGGACCTAGCCCCCACCTTGACAGCAAAACATTTTCGTGGCCCCCCTCTTGACAGCAGAGAGAAAACATTGAAGTTTTAGAGTTCATTTCCTGCAATTCTACACATTTTGCCATGGGGCGCAGATAAAATGTTGCAGTTTTAAAGCAAGTTTGCTGCAATTCTACATGTTTTGCCATGGGGCGGAGAGAAGATTTAGAATTTTTTAAAATGATATCTGAGTGAGAGTGACTAACAAAATCAATGGGGGCCCACCGGTTGGAAATTCTACCATGATTACTAGAAGTTTAGATAGCTGGCTGCTAGACTAACTTACCATTCTAAAACATTTTAGCTGACATGGGGTAATTGAGTGACTATCAGTGACTGACATAACAAGAGAAAAACTGCTGATGCACGAAATTGGACCTTGTGTTTATTTGTATTTTGGGAAATGGATCCGCAGTCCTACAAAAGGAGGCGCGGGTCGCCAGTTGCCCATCCCTGGACTAGAGCATGTGTGTGTGGAGTATGTCCATGAGTGACTGATATGAGATAAGTGTTAGGTATTTAAGGTTGCAGTGTGATTTAAGGTAGGCCCTGTACTAAATGACTCACCGACTTTGTAAATGCATGAACTCAGACACCTAACAATTACTAACATTTGACGGTCGTGACTTTGTGGTAACAATGACCTACTTGGTGTATGTGAGATGCAAAAGCCGACAGCAGATTCTTAACATCCTACTTTAGAGTCATAGAGCCGAGCCTCTTGCTTCCTCTTTCGGCCTGTGCTGCATCGAGGCAGGAAACCAGCATCAAGAAACGGGAAGTGAACAAAGTCACCAACTAACCAGTCTCTTTCCTCTGCCGTAATAAACCTCACGGAAATGTACTGCGTCATGGATATAAGAAACCACACCAACAAATGCAAAACCCTGTATTATACTGTCAATATGAGTGTCAGTAGTGTGTTTCATCAAAAGGATGTGTGTACTTACTGAATGTGTTTGCTGAGTGTGTTATAGCTCTGGTCCAGGGCGTTAGTGCGCGTTCGGGGGCGTTAGTGCGTGCTAACGCCCTGGACCAGAGCTAAGTGTGTTGTAGGTAGTTGATGGGTGTGTGTGTTGATTGTTTGTGTTGTATTTTCTCTCAGACAGAAATGTTAACTATGAGGAACAGGTGGCCCACTCACTCCCCAATGTTGCCACGACGGCGGTGGGCGTGTCCATATTCCTCCTCACCACCACGGCCTGCTTGGTGATTAAGTCCCGCCTTTTCCCCTGTCACTCACACGGGTAAGTGGATATGACTGGCTCTTATCCCTGTCACTCACACAGCTATATTCATATGACTGGATCCTCTATAGCAGTGTGGTCACTTCTAACCCTGGTCCTTGAGCGTTACAGTGTATGTAGGTTTTGTTCCAGGACTAACACACCTGATTCAGCTAATCAAGGTCTTGATGTTTGGTTGAACCAGGTGTGTTGCTCTGTAGGGATGGTTACAGCGCTGTAGTGGCTTTGAATAGTAGAGGCTTGGAAAGGCATCACATCCTGTAATGAAAGCACCTTTATAATCTGATGAGTGAAAGCTGAAAGAGGAGGAGGAAGAATGTTTATAGTCATGTTGTTATCATCAATGGTGGGTGTTTCATAGCTGTAGTGTCTGTTAGATTGTAGATAACTCCACCCACTGTGTGAGTGCTGTGTCCCTGAAGTCATCTGATCATCTCTCTACTGTTGTTCAGCAGGCGCTCCTCTGACCAGATGGATCTGGTGGTGGATGGCCTGCCTGTGTCTCTGCCCACCTATGAGGAGGCTGTCTATGGGAGCTGGGGGCAACACCTGCCCCCCTGCAGAGGGCCCACCCAGCTCTTATTGGCCCAGGAGGCTCCAGGTCCATCATTAGCTCACAACCAATCAGATTCCAGTCACCGTATCCATCAATCCAATCAAAGCCCCGATATCCTTCCGCCCCCTTACGAGGAGATCGAATCCCATCCCAGAGAGGGTCAGAGTGAGGGGGACGTGCGGGCCTTACAAGTTGCACTTTCCGATGACAAGGACATTTGAGTGACTGGCGTATTTGTGTCACCTACCAATGATGTACTGATTAGTAAAATCATGTGCTCAGGCACTTATATAGATTCAAGCCTACCAGCATGAATCCACTTTCTTATCAGGTTTCAACCTTATACATAGCACACCAGTTCTGATTGGCTGTTTGTAATGTTATGAGATGTATCCTGCCATGGAGACATGGTTTATATCCCATCAGTGATGGGACCAGAGCCTCGTTTGTTGAGGTGACTTTGGTAATGCCATTAGTGTTACATAACAGGGACCTGCGCGTCTCTATTGTGACTGATTGATTGTGCACTGTGGGTAAACCCAGCTGGAGAGAGTGGAAATGGAGGTTACTTTCCTTCTTGTTGGTTTATGATTTGCGATGATGGCAGAGTTGTAGCGTCGATTATGGAAACCAGCAGGCGACTGAACAGTGTACACAGAGATCACATGTGCTGGTCAGTTTAGGAGTAAAATCTGTGTTCACCCTGAAACATATTTTGAGCTCTAGCTACAACCCAGTCCATTTTTGACTGGCATTTTTGGGAGTGGTGACTGACTGACCACATGGAAGAGTTTCACTTTCTACACCCACCACGTACGCACTTGACACCGTCCACCATGCCAAGCGTACCCCACGCCGAGTATGCACCAACCCCTCTCTCCTCCACCGCCATGTTCCCACCTTTCACCTCTCCTCTATCTGCTTTGAATGATTGACGAGAGTTTGGGGAGGGTGGGGGGCAGAAACCCCCGGGATGTACTTATTTGTTATAGACATTGAATGTAGTTGTTTCTCTTTTTCTTTCCAATAGAAAAAATGAAATGGATGTATGTAATGTAAGATTTACATAATATTGCGTAAATGTAAATGTAAAATTGTATTGCACAGAAGATTAAAAGTCAACATTGTTTCTAACAGTTAAACCTCTTGGCCTTACTCGGTTATGGGACGAATTTGTCAAAGGAAAGTAGATCACATGGTGGATCTGAGACAGAGTCTGCACCCCAATGGCACTCTATTGCCTATAAAGTGCACTACTTTTGACCAGAGCCCTATTGGCCCTAGTCAAAAGTAGTGTACTATATAGGGAATAGGGTGGCATTTGGGACACAGTACAGACAGAGCTAGTCTAATAACCAGATCTTGTTGTTCCATGTTGAATAATTAAGTTAAAGTTCTATGGGGCAATCAGCAGTTGAAACAATAACAAAGTCCACCCCCATTTCGGTAAAAAGCTGAGGGATGGGGCTGGAGAAATGTAACCACTCTCAAATTCATAGACAGAGCTATGGATGCAAGGACTGACCATCCATGATATAAAAATTATACATTATACAGTTAAAGTCGGAAGTTTACATACACTTACGTTGCTGGAGGAAACAGGTACAAAAGTATCTATATCCACAGTAAATCGACATAACCTGAAAGGCCACTCAGCAAGGAAGAAGCCACTGCTCCAAAACCGCCTTAAAAAAGCCAGACTACGGTTTGCAACTGCACATGCGGACAAAGATCGTACTTTTTGGAGAAATGTCCTCTGGTCTGATGAAACAAAAATAGAACTGTTTGGCCATAATGACCATCGTTATGTTTGGAGGAAAAAGGGGGGCAGCTTGCAAGCCGAAGAACACCATCCCAACCGTGAAGCACTGGGGTGGCAGCATCATGCTGTGGGGGTGCTTTGCTGCAGGAGGGACTGGTGCACTTCACAAAATAGATGGCATCATGAGGAAGGAAAATTATGTGGATATATTGAACCAACATCTCAAGACATCAGTCAGGAAGTTAAAGCTTGGTCGCAAATGGGTCTTCCAAATGGACAATGACCCCAAGCATACTTCCAAAGTTGTGGCAAAATGGCTTAAGGACAACAAAGCCAAGGTATTAGAGTGGCCATCACAAAGCCCTGACCTCAATCCTATAGAATATTTGTGGGCAGAACTGAAAAAGCGTGTGCGAGCAAGGAGGCCTACAAACCTGACTCAGTTACACCAGCTCTGTCAGGAGGAATGGGCCAAAAATTCACCCAACTTATTGTGGGAAGCTTGTGGAAGGCTACCTGAAACTTTTGACCCAAGTTAAACAATTTAAAGGCAATGCTACCAAATACTAATTGAGTGTATGTAAACTTCTCACCCACTGGGAATGTGATGAAAGAAATAAAAGCTGAAATAAATCATTCTCTCTACTATTATTCTGACATTTCACATTCTTAAAATAAAGTGGTGATCCTAACTGACCTAAGACAGGGAATTTTTACTAGGATTAAATGTCAGGAATTGTGAAAAACTGAGTTTAAATATATTTGGCTAAGGTGAATGTAAACGTCCGACTGTATATACAAAAGTATGTGGATTAGTCAATTCGGCTATTTCAGCCACACCCGTTGCTGACAGGTGTACAAAATCGAGTACACAGCCATGCAATCTCCATAAACAAAGACATTGGCAGTAGAATGGCCTTACTGAAGAGCTCAGTGACTTTCAACGTGGCACCGTCGTAGGATGCCAACGTTACAACAAGTCAGTTCGTAAAATGTCTGCCCTGCTAGAGCTGCCCCGATCAACTGTAAATGCTGTTATTGTGAAGTGGAAACGTATAGGAGCAACAACGGCTCAGCCGCGAAGTGGTAGGCCACACAAGCTCACATAACGGGACTGTAACGACTGTAAAGAACTGAAGTTTGGTGGATGAGCAATAATGGTCTGGGGCTGTTTTTCATGGTTCGGGCTAGGCCCTTTAGTTCCAGTGAAGGGAAATCTTAAGGCTACAGTATACAGTGACATTCTAGACGATTCTGTGCTTCCAACTTTGTGGCAACAGTTTGGGGAAGGCCCTTTCCTGTTTCAGCATGACAATGCCCCCTGTGCACAAAGCGAGGTCCATACAGAAATGGTTTGTCGAGATCGGTGTGGAAGAACTTAACTGGCCTGCACAGAGCCCTGACCTCAACCCCATCGAACACCTTTGGGATGAATTGGAACACCAACTGTGAGCCAGGCCCAATTGCCCAACATCAGTGCCCAACCTCACTAATGCTCTTGTGGCTGAATGGAAGCAAGTCCCTGCAGCAATGTTCCAACATCTAGTGGAAAGCCTTCCCAGAACAGTGGAGGCTGTTATAGCAGCAAAGGGGGACCAACTCCATATTAATGCCCATGATTTTGGAATGAGATGTTCGACGAGCAGGTGTCCACATACTTTTGGTCATGATGAATAGTTTTAGCCAAACAAGTTTATGCTGTATTCAATCTGTAAAGCTGAAGCATTATAGATTCCGCAAAAGAAGAGACTGCATTCACGGTAAATGCTGCATATGTCGGCTCAATCGCAAATTACCTTATTATTTCTATTGCGGAATCTGTAACGTTTCAATTTACAGATTGAATAGAGACCCTTATATTTTGGGTTCTGATGGGGTATGACAGTTGAACTAAACTCATAAGTTATATTCCTCAAGAACCAACAGGTACATATCATTTATTTATGAGTCCAACAATGGATGTAGCAACTGCTGATTGCCCCTTTAACCTGCCTGAGCTAAAGTTCTAACAACATTGGACAAGCAGGATGGCCAGGGCATGGCAGTGTGAGGGAAGTGGAGTAGACTTTAAAAAATCAATATAAACTCACTTTAACTTGTCAAGCCTGCTGACTGTGTTCAAATGGAAAGTACATAAACCGCTTATGAGGAATGCAGAAATACTGACCTATTTACTGGAATCAGTTGAGTAATGATTGTGTGTTTAGCCCTGATTGAGGTTGTAGTAGAAAATGTAGAAAATAGTAAAAATAAAGAAAAACCCTTGAATGAGTAGGAGTGTCCAGACACGCCTACTCATTCAAGGGTCATCAAGGGTTTTTCTTTATTTTTTACTATTTTCTACATTGTAGAATAATAGTGAAATCAAAACGATGAAATAACACATACAGAATCATGTAGTAACCAAAAAAGTGTTAAACAAATCAAAATATATTTTATATTTGAGATTCTTCAAATAGCCACCCTTTGCCTTGATGACAGCTTTGCACACTCTTGGCATTCTCTCAACCAGCTTCACCTGGAATGCTTTTCCAACAGTCTTGAAGGAGTTCCCACATATGCTGAGCACTTGTTGGCTGCTTTTCCTTCACTCTGTCGTCCGACTCATCCCAAACCATCTCAATTGGGTTGAGGTCGGGGGATTGTGGAGGCCAGGTCATCTGATGCAGCACTCCATCACTCTCCTTCTTGGTAAAATAGCCCTTACACAGCCTGGAGGTGTGTTGGGTCATTGTCCTGTTGAAAAACAAATGATAGTCCCACTAAGCCCAAACCAGATGGGATGGCGTATAGCTACAGAATGCTATGGTAGCCATGCTGGTTGTGTGCCTTTAATTCTAAATAAATCACAGACAGTGTCACCAGCAAAGCACCCCCACACCATAACACCTCCTCCTCCATGCTTTACAGTGTGGTCCTCTGTAGCTCAATTGGTAGAGCATGGCGCTTGTAATGCCAGGGTAGTGGGTTTGATCCCCGGGACCACCCATACGTAAAAATGTTTGCACACATGACTGTAAGTCACTTCGGATAAAAGCGTCTGCTAAATGGTATATTAACTACACATGCAGAGATCATCTGTTCACCCAAACTGGGTCTCACAAAGACACGGCGGTTGGAACCAAAAATCTCTAATTTGGACTCCAGACCAAAGGACACATTTCCACTGGTCTAATGTCCATTGCTTGTGTTTCTTGGCTCAAGCAGATCTCTTCTTCTTTTTGGTGTCCTTTAGTAGTGATTTCTTTGCAACAATTTGACCATGAAGGCCTGATTCACACAGTCCCCTCTGAACAGTTGATGTTGAGATGTGTCTGTGACTTGAACTCTGTGAAGCATTTATTTGGGCTGCAATTTCTGAAGCTGGTAACTTTAAATAACTTATCCTCTGCAGCAGAGGTAATTCTGGGTCTTCCATTCCTGTGGCGGTCCTCATGAGAGCCAGTTTCATCATTGATGGTTTTGGTTTTTGCGACTGCATTTGAAGAAACTTTCAAAGTTCTTGAAATGTTCCGTAGTGACGGATCTTCATGTTTTAAAGTAAGGATGGACTCTTTGCTTATTTGAGCTGTTTTTGGCATAATATGGATTTGGTCTTTTAACAAATAGGGCTATCTTCTGTATACTCCCCCTACCTTGTCACAACACAACTGATTGGCTCAAACACATTAAGAAGGAAAGACATTCCACAAATCAACAAGGCACACCTGTTAATTGAAATGCATTCCAGGTGACTGCCTCATGAAGCTGGTTGAGAGAATGCCAAGCGTGTGCAAAGCTATCATCAAGGCAATGGGTGGCTATTTGAAGAATCTCCAATATATTTTGATTTGTTTAACACTTTTTTGGTTACTACATGATTCCATATGTGTTATTTCATAGTTTTGTCTTCACTATTATTCTCCAATGTAAAAAATAGTAAACATAAAGAAAAACCCTTGAATGAGTAGGTGTGTCCAAACTTTTGACTGGTACTGTGTATATATATATATATATATATATATATATATATATTTTTTTTTTTACTCAAACCTCCCCGCGGGCTGGATTGGACCCCTCTTGGGCCGGATCTGGCCCACAGCCGTATGTTTGATACCCCTGCTCTAAAGTGCCAGTTACTTTGTAGCTGTGGTGAAATATTGTGGCCATTATAGATATGGGTGTTATGCTAATGACACACACTTGGAAAATGTTCTACTTCCCCTGCATAAACTTGACATTACCTGAATAAAACGAGGTCAGAAGTGCCCTAATCTCCCGTGGACAGACATGTAACATAACTGAGATTTTAGTTCTGGGTTTCCGAGATTAGCTTGCCCTTTAGAGAGAGAAAGGGGGATTTTTGGGAAACAAAGGAGCATTATTGAATATCAAGTAAAGCAACAAGATGCAATCGGAAGTCAGGCAGCAACCTGCACTACGAAAAAATGAATCTACCATAAACACCACAAGATGGCAGTATTTCTTTACATTAAATCCTCTTGAATAAAAAGTGCATTTATGTCTATATCAGTTTATTCAGTCAATAATACATACAATGCAAAACAGTACAGACAAACACTAGTCCTTGAAAATTAAAGTTATATGATAAAAGGCAAATTTATAAATGGAACTAATACATTCCGATGAATCTATGGAGATTAATCTAATGCCACAAAAGCCACCATAGGATCATTAAATTATTGCAAATGCAATAATCTTATAATCATGCAACTAAAATAAGTCCTATGTGTGCTTCAAACCAATTATCTTTCAATCTCTTTCCTATTCTTAAACGATAGATTCATAATAAAGACAACAATGGGGGAGTAATTGATAAGATGTTAAGTAATCATTTCTACAGTGTGTGAAATGAATGCACAAAAGGTGTATATCAGATATTTATCCACTGGATTTGCAAAATAGCAACCATAAACCGAAAAGAAATAATTACTGATTGAATATGACAAGATGATCATCTTGCACCACCTAGAAATACATGATAAAAGCAACAAAAACATTGCGGCTTATAGAATAGTATTCCATAAGCGAGCATACAAAACATTCATTTAATACATCATATTTTTCTAAAGTCTATAATGTAAAGTATATAAAAAGACTAGGTAAAAAGATGGCAGTCAAAGAGCCCTTGTATGACAGTCGAGGAGTATGTGACATACAGATTATCTTTTGAGGTAACACAACTGCCTGAGTCCTGCGTCCAACTGCTTAATAGCAAAGGCTTGTGTTGTTAGTAATTAATTTGATCATTTCTTATAAAAATGACCCATATATGCCACTGGCGATCGTTCTGAGGTATTATTGGAATATACTATAACCGTTGTGCGTTTGTTACAAAATAATAATATCATAATAATAAAGGTAAATGTCCTGTCCAGACTGCCAGGTCCACATAACGTACTAAAGAACAGTAGACCAACTGAAGGGCCATCACTGTTTCTAAAACACCACTTTGTCAGACATACTGGACGTATGTGTCTTAGGCTTGATTTGTGTGTGTGTTTTTTTGAGTCTGTTCTGACCTCGGAAGCACCATTGGGTCAAGTGTAGTGTTTAGACTAAAGTCTACAAGTGTTCACAAGAACTGAGGAGAACACTTTAATCAACCCTGAATGAGAAAAGAGGGGGGGGGGGGGGGGGGGGGGGGGTTCAGAGAGAAAAGGAGGAAAACCATAGCAGGCTGTTGTTGTTGACATGGCTGGCAAGCGTGAGGAAGTCTCTGAGTTGGAGGTGCTGGCAGAGAGAATGACGCGTCTGGTTGGGGAGTGTGTGAATCCTGTTGAGGCTCCGTTATCTCAGCACGCCCCAGCTGGCAGGGGAAGATTGGCAGCTGCTTCCTCAAGTCAGAGAGGAGGTCAGGGGGTCAGGTGGGCGGGACAAGAAGAGGTCCCTCATCAAGGCTGTGGGAGAACATGAGAGAGAAGGGGAAGAGGAGGAGATCTGAGGTGGATTGGTCATCATCACCTATTTCGGTAGATATTAGCAAGAGTGAATTTGGTAGGTACAATATGACATAGTATGCAAATACCAAACATGAAGCCTAAATATTTGCCCAAGATACAGTAGTACCATGACGTGTGTTTGTACCTGCAGTGTCACATTGTCCCTGGGCTTCCCCGAGGATGGGGTCCCTGTCCGTCAGCAGTTGGCTCCGCCTGCAGGGGCGTGGCCCCAGCTCCATCTCTGGGCTGTCTGCATCCTCCAGGCAGTCCTGAAACACACACCGTTTCAACTTTAATAACACATCATTGTTCATTAAGTCATTTTAATGATGCCTTGAACATATTCTATACACTATCCCCAACCCTAAAACCCCTCCTCCCCCAACCCTAAACCCCCTTTTCACCAGCAGGGTGTAGCGGAGAAGCAGTTCCTGCTTGATGGGGGACACTGAGTGTCTCTGTCTCTTGTCCTGACTCATCAGCTGGGAGGGCATGTCTTCATCCTGCTCATGACTCCTGTGGAAGTTACAGTGAGGAACATTAACATTCAGCAACACTGTCACTCCAACACACCCAACACCACTGTCTGTCACTTCAAAACATCCAACACCACTGTCTGTCACTTCAAAACATCCAACACCACTGTCACTCCAAAACATCCAACACCACTGTCACTCCAAAACAACCCATACCAATGTCACTCCAAAACATCCCATACCAATGTCACTCCAAAACATCCAACACCACTGTCTGTCACTTCAAAACATCCAACACCACTGTCACTCCAAAACAACCCATACCAATGTCACTCCAAAACATCCAAAACCACTATCACTCCAAAACAACCCATACCAATGTCACTCCAAAACATCCAAAACCACTGTCACTCCAAAACATCCAACACCACTGTCACTCCAAAACATCCAACACCACTGTCTGTCACTTCAAAACATCCAACACCACTGTCACTCCAAAACAACCCATACCAATGTCACTCCAAAACATCCAACACCACTGTCGCTCAATCTTGTCTCTCTCACTGGTGTGACCCAGACAGCAGTGGGTCAGTAGAGTAGAGTAGATTGTTACCGTTTCCTGGTAGCAGTGGGGGGCTCTGGGGAGGGGCTCTCAGAGGTCTCAGGGAGCTGGACGCTGAGCTGGAAATCATCATCCATGGAGATATACGGCGCCAGCATGTCCAGATCAATCACTTCCACGTCCTACCAGCACAGGAGACAGAGTGCTCAATCACAGGTATGGCCTCCCTCTTACTAATTTGCCTCTCTCAAAATAGTTTGAGGTATTGAAGAAATAAGAAAGTACTAGAAATCCAGCACTGTTGTGTGTGTGGTCTAGCTAGGTCATTGTGTTGTGACTGTGCACATTATTAAGTGTTCAGCTGTATACTATATGTACCTCAGGCTGGTCTTCCTTCTGCACGCTCTCATCTGGACAGACGGCAAAGAACTTCTCCACCTCATCCTCTATTGGCAGCTCCTCAATGGGGATCTGACGAGGACAGATATATAGTGGATTCCTCATCAGTGAGAACACATTGGGTCCATATATTATAGACTCTAGAGAGATGTATCTTTACTGACATTTAAGAATCAACCAAAGTTCTTACCAGTGCTGGTGATGATGAGGTGAGCTTGCCGAATATGGGTGAGAGGAGCGTCCATAACTCAGGGGTGCACAGCTCTTGAGGGAAATCTGGTACGGAGTTAGGGCTTGATGGAAGGCTGAACGACAGCTCTGCAATGTCTGCAGAAAACACATGTCAAGACACAAAACATAAAACAGCCTTGTGAGCACTTATGACAGTGAATGAATGTGTAGTAAGTAAGCCTTGTCTGAGCCAGAATGGCCCATAGCTTCTGTAGCATGAGGCAGCTTGATCTACTAGTACACTAGTGTGTCGCAGGGCCTCAGGCCCCAGAATCTTTTGGTATTCCACCGGGGATCAAACTCCCAACCTTCCAATCTCAGGGGAGACTAACCACAAGTTGGTATAGTACTAAGGTGTGAATTAAAGTGTGAGGATGACCTGTGAGGGGTACGATGGGGTCTCCTGAGACAGGGGCCAGTTGGAGGAGGTCCTCAGGGTTCTCCTTCAGCTGGAGGAAGAGCTCAACACAGCTGCTGTCGTCACTGTTCTTCCTGTTGTCACTGTCACACAAGGTCTCCTCTGAGGCCTCAGAGACAGGATCACTCTTCAGCCCACAGCCAGTCTGATCTACTGAGAACACCACATCTGCCTGCTCCACCACACTGAGAGAGAGAGAGAGAGAGAGAGGAGAGAGAGAGGAGAGAGAGAGAGGAGAGAGAGAGAGAGAGAGAGAGAGAAATAGATAGATCGTGAGACAGAAAGAGAGACACAGAAAGACAGACAGATAGATAGTGACATGATAAATAAGTATGGAGAAGATGTAGGGTAGGGAGAATGGAAAGGGGTGAACGTATGTCCCCTTTGAGAGTAGAGAGGAGGTGGGGCATTACCTGAGGATAAAGTTAAGACAGACCACAGCCTCTGGTTGGGAGGTCTTGTTGTTGTATATGACTGTAGCCTGGGTCTCTGCCCACACGAAGCCCCCACTCTTAGTCAGGAAACGGTATTGGCTGGTGCACACCTGGCCTTTGGACATAACTGGGATGGGGGAGGACAGGTCAGTGGATGACAATACTTTTTTTTTTTTACACATTATGTACACAGACAAACATGCGCACACACCCACAGGCACAAACGCACACTTCAAGTTGACCACTTCACTGTAGCACTCTTAAAAGGCTGAACAGGGCTCAAAGTAGTAAAGTGCATGCCCCGCCCACCTCATGCTTCCCCTTTCCAGCCATTACTTCACTGTTTTTGTGGGGTGTAAAATGTATGTCACATAATTGTAGCTGGGTCGATTTATTTAAAAAGAAAATCAATGCCCATTCCTTGCTTGTCCAAAGCACATTTTCCCGTAGATTTTAAGTTCGCGCAAATGTCTGTTATGACCGCTCAAACACATGCTGGTCCCCTTCAAAATGTCAACAATGGCACATGTGGATTTTGATCTGCATCTTTTACAACGCCGACGGTTGGACGGGGATTAAACGCACAAAGACAATATTTATACCACAAGACAGAGGAGAAAGCGATCTTTGCACAGGTGAGTGTTCCTTTTTTGGCCAATAAAAAAAAGTTAGGATTAAATCAATTTGAAATGGAAGCCGCTCCCGAAAAGGAACAGCCAAATATCATTAATATGGGTTTTGATCTTCCACACAATGTAAACTATTTGTGTATTGGTAAATTCTAGAGCAGCGCATTTAGATCATAAAACGGGGCGTTATAATTTTCTTAAACATAGTCACCACCTAATGTTAGATTATCTCATGATAAGCTGTAGACCACACTATCTACCAATATAGTTTCATCAATATTCTTCGTAGCTGTCTATTTATCACCACAAACCGATGCTGGCACTAAGACCGCACTCAATGAGCTGTATTCGGCCATAAGCAAACAGGAAAACGCTCATCCAGAGCCGGGGCTCCTAGTGGCCGGGGACTTTAATGCAGGGAAACTTAAATCTGTTTTACCTAATTTCTACCAGCATGTTAAATGTGCGACCAGAGGGAAAAACACTCGCCCTCCATTTGGCAAATCTGACCATAATTCTATCCTCCTGATTCCTGCTTACAAGCAAAAACTAAAGCAGGAAGCACCAGTGACTCGGTCAATAAAAAAGTAGTCAGATGAAGCAGATGCTAAGCTACAGGACTGTTTTGCTAGCACAGACTGGAATATGTTCCGGGATTCTTCCGATGGCATTGAGGAGTACACCACATCAGTCACTGGCTTCATCAATAAGTGCATCGATGACGTCGTCCCCACAGTGACCGTATGTACATACCCCAACCAGAAGCCATGGATTACAGGCAACATCCGCACTGAGCTAAAGGGTAGAGCTGCCGCTTTCAAGGAGCGGGACTCTAACCTGGAAGCTTATAAGAAATCCCGCTATGCCCTCCGACGAACCATCAAACAGGCAAAGCGTCAATACAGGACTAAGATCGAATCGTACTACACAGGCTCCGACGCTCGTCGGATGTGGCAGGGCTTGCAAACTATTACAGACTAAATCAAATCAAATGTTATTTGTCACATACACATGTTTAGCAGATGTTATAGCAGGTGTAGCGAAATGCTCGTGCTTCTAGCTCCGACAGTGCAGTAATATCTAACAATTTCACAACATATACCCAATACACACAAAACTAGTAAGGAATGGGATTTAAGAATATATACAGTGGGGAGAACAAGTATTTGATACACTGCCGATTTTGCAGGTTTTCCTACTTACAAAGCATGTAGAGGTCTGTAATATTTATCATAGGTACCCTTCAACTGTGAGAGACGGAATCTAAAACAAAAATCCAGAAAATCACATTGTATGATTTTTAAGTAATTCATTTGCATTTTATTGCATGACATAAGTATTTGATACATCAGAAAAGCAGAACTTAATATTTGGTACAGAAACCTTTGTTTGCAATTACAGAGATCATACATTTCCTGTAGGTTTTGACCAGGTTTGCACACACTGCAGTAGGGATTTTGGCCCACTCCTCCATACAGACCTTCTCCAGATCCTTCAGTTTTCGGGGCTGTCGCTGGGCAATACGGACTTTCAGCTCCCTCCAAAGATTTTCTATTGGGTTCAGGTCTGGAGACTGGCTAGGCCACTCCAGGACCTTGAGATGCCTCTTACAGAGCCACTCATTAGTTGCCCTGGCTGTGTGTTTCGGGTCGTTGTCATGCTGGAAGACCAGCCACGACCCATCTTCAATGCTCTTACTGAGGGAAGGAGGTTGTTGGCCAAGATCTCGCGATACATGGCCCCATCCATCCTCCCCTCAATACGGTGCAGTCGTCCTGTCCCCTTTGCAGAAAAGCATCCCCAAAGAATGATGTTTCCACCTCCATGCTTCACGGTTGGGATGGTGTTCTTGGGGTTGTACTCATCCTTCTTCTTCCTCCAAACAAGGCGAGTGGAGTTTAGACCAAAAAGCTCTATTTTTGTCTCATCAGACCACATGACCTTCTCCCATTCCTCCTCTGGATCATCCAGATGGTCATTGACAAACTTCAGACGGGCTTGGACATGCGCTGGCTTGAGCAGAGGGACCCTGCGTGCGCTGCAGGATTTTAATCCATGACGGCGTAGTGTGTTACTAATGGTTTTCTTTGAAGACCCCACCTCTTTAAGGAATACCTGGGATAGGATAAAGTAATCCTTCTACCCCCCCCCCCCCCAAAAAAAAACATTAAAAAAACAAAAAACAAAACATTGTAAAGTGGTTATCCCACTGGCTATAAGGTGAATGCACCTATTTGTAAGTCGCTCTGGATAAGAGCGTCTGCTAAATGACGTAAATGTAAATGTAAGACTGTGGTCCCAGCTCTCTTCAGGTCATTGACCAGGTCCTGCTGTGTAGTTCTGGGCTGATCCCTCACCTTCCTCATGATCATTGATGCCCCACGAGGTGAGATCTTGCATGGAGCCCCAGACCGAGGGTGATTGACCGTCATCTTGAACTTCTTCCATTTTCTAATAATTGCGCCAACAGTTGTTGCCTTCTCACCAAGCTGCTTGCCTATTGTCCTGTAGCCCATCCCAGCCTTGTGCAGGTCTACAATTGTATCCCTGATGTCCTTACACAGCTCTCTGGTCTTGGCCATTGTGGAGAGGTTGGAGTCTGTTTGATTGAGTGTGTGGACAGGTGTCTTTTATACAGGTAACGAGTTCAAACAGGTGCAGTTAATACAGGTAGTGAGTAGAGAACAGGAGGGCTTCTTAAAGAAAAACTAACAGGTCTGTGAGAGCCGGAATTCTTACTGGTTGGTAGGTGATCATATACCTATGTCATGCAATAAAATGCAAATTAATTACTTAAAAATCATACAATGTGATTTTATGGATTTTTGTTTTAGATTCCGTCTCTCACAGTTGAAGTGTACCTATGATAAAAATTACAGACCTCTACATGCTTTGTAAGTAGGAAAACCTGCAAAATCGGCAGTGTATCAAATACTTGTTCTCCCCACTGTACATATATGGACAAGCAATGACAGAGCGGCATGGACTAAGATACAGTAGAATATTATAGAATATAATGCAGTATATACATATGAGATGAGTAGTGCAAGATATGTAAACATTATTAAAGTGACTAGTGTTCCATTTCTTAAAGTGGCCAGTGATTTCAATAGGCAGCAGCAGCCTCTAATGTGCTAGTGATGGCTATTTAACAGTCTGATGGCCTTGAGATAGAAGCTGTTTTTCATTCTCTCGGTCCCAGCTTTGATGCACCGACGAGACAGCCTATAGGGAGGAGGTCAGAGACCTGGCCGTGTGGTGCCAGGACAACAACCTCTCCCTCAACGTGATCAAGACAAAGGAGATGATTGTGGACTACAGGAAAAAGAAGAGGACCGAGCACGCCCCCATTCTCATCGACGGGGCTGTGGTGGAGCAGGTTGAGAGCTTCAAGTTCCTTGGTTATCACATCACCAACAAACTAACATGGTCTAAGCACACCAAGACAGTCGTGAAGAGGGCACGACAAAACCTATTCCCCCTCAGGAGACTGAAAAGATTTGCCATGGATCCTCAGACCCTCAAAAGGTTCTACAGCTGCACCATCGAGAGCATCCTGACTGGTTGCATCACTGCCTGGTATGGCAACTGCTCGGCCTCCGACCGCAAGGCACTACAGAGGGTAGTGTGTACGGCCCAGTACATCACTGGGGCCAAGCTTCCTGCCATCCAGGACCTCTATAAAAGGCGGTGTCAGAGGAAGGCCCTAAAAATTGTCAAAGACTCCAGCCACCCTAGTCATAGACTGTTCTCTTTGCAACCGCATTGCAAGCGGTATCGGAGCGCCAAGTCTAGGTCCAAGAGGCTTCTAAACAGCTTCTACCCCCAAGCCATCAGACTCCTGAACATTTAATCAAATGGCTTCTCCCTCTTTTACGTTGCTGCTACTCTCTGTTAATTATCTATTCATAGTCACTTTAATAACTCTACCTACATGTACATATTCGCTATTGTTATTTTACTGCTGCTCTTTAATTATTTGTTACTTTTATTTCTTATTTTTTTAGGGTATTCTTTCTTAAAATTGCATTGTTAGTTAAGGGCGTGTAAGTAAGCATTTCACTGTAAGATCTACACTTGTTGTATTCGGCGCATGTGACAAATAAAAATGGATTTGATTTTATGTTGAATATGCAAGAGGATTTGACAAAAACAACCATGAATATGAGTGGAATCCATGGTGAAAGCTATGGGTTGTTTCTCAAAAGAACATTTTTGATATGACAAAGTTGAAACCTGAATTCCCACAAAAAACTGGTGGATTACAGACTTTTTTCTCTTATTATACAATTGTTTCTGCTATAATTCAGTCAATTTTTGATGGATTTTTTTATTTAAAAAGCATTGAGTATCTCGCTCCATTATGCAGCTGTTACATTTATCAAAACTCTATTTTTGACCATTATACCTTTTGATGATTGTTGCTACTCAAAGCCTCAGTGGTCTGATGATAGACTATGGGTGTTTCTCAAAATGCATACTACCGTGCCAGTCCAAA